CAGGTGTGAGCCACTGCACCCAACCTGTACTCATTTTTGAAAGATTTTTTGCTGGGTATAGAATTTTAGATTGCTTTTTTTTTTTTTTTTTTTTTTTTTAAGATGAGTTTCACTCTTGTCACCCACAGTGGAGTGCAGTGGCATAATCTTGGCTCACTGCAACATCCACTTCCAGGTTTCAAGTGATTCTCCTGCCTCAGCTTCCTGAATAGCTGGGATTACAGGTGTGTGCCACCATGCTTGGCTAATTTTTGTATTACTGTATTATTAGTAAAGATAGGGTTTCACCACGTTGGCCCGGCTGGTCTCGAACTCCTGACCTCAGGTGATCAGGCTTGGGAACCCACCTTGGCTTCCCAATTGCTGGGATTATAGGCATGAGCCACCGCACCCGGCCTTAGGTTGCTTTTTTTTTATCTTTCATCACCCTGAAGATGTTTTTTAATTTCTTAAATTGTTTCTGACAAGAAGTCAGTAGTGATTTTTTATCTTTGTTCCCCCATATGTAATTTATTTCTTTTTGTCAGCTTTTAAGATTTTCTCTTCATCATGGGTTTTCAGTAATTTGATTATGATGTGTCTTGTTGGGATTTTATGTTTAACCTTCTTGGAATTCACTGTACTTCTTGAATCTGTGGGATTATAGCTTTAATCAAATTGGAATGTTTTCTGCCATATTTTTTCAAATATTCTCCTGTCTTTCTGGGACTCCAGTTATTTATATATATGTACATATGCATATATTAAATTTTTTCCCACCCTTTTTTCTCTCTGTGCTTCAGTTTGGGTAGTTTGTTTTGCTCTGTCTTCAAGTTTATTAATCCTTTAGAGTATCCAGACTTCTAGATCTCAGTGTTCAATACCATCTATGGAATTTTTCATTTTAGATATTGTATTTTTTAGTTCTAGAAGATCTGTTTTCTTAGGTCTTCTTTTTCTCTCCTCATGTTCATATTTTCCTTTGGATCCCCTAACAATTAATAATATTGGTTTTAAAGTCTTTGCTAATTTCATCATCTCTGTAATGTTTGGATCTGTATCTGTTGACTTTTAAAATGTTAGAGACAAGGTTTTGCTATGTTGCTCAGTCTGGTATCAAACTCCCGGTACCAAAACCACTGAGCTCAAGTGGTCTTTCTGCCTCAGCCTCCTGAGTAACTCACACTACAGACATGTACCATGGTGCCTAGCTCGTTCACTTTTTAAATTCCTGGTTTGAGTAACATTTTTTTTCTGGCTTCTCCACATTTCTGTTTACTTTTGATTGGATGGTAGACATTGTAAATATTATGAAGGGGACCTCTATACTGTACCAAACTCTGATCTCTGTCTTCTGTATAAGCTATCATACTCTGCTTCACATCCCCTTCCTTGTACCTCTTTTCAGAAAGCCTCTCCCAAGCTGTGTTTACCTTGTTTCATTTTCTCAGGGATCACAGTTTTACATTGCCTGTTATCTAATGTCTGAGAGTTTTTTTGTTTGTTTTTTTGAGACAGTGTCTCATTCTGTCTTCCAAGCTGGAGTTCAGTGGGGCAATCTTGGCTCACTGCAACTTCCACCTCCTGGCTTCAAGCAATTATTGTACCTCAGCCTCCAGAGTAGTTGGGATTGCAGGCACACATCATCATGCCCAGCTAATTTTTGTATTTTAGTAGAGACAGGGTTTCACCATGTTGGCCAGGCTGGTTTTGAACACCTGACCTGAACTGATCTGCCCACCTCAGCCTCCCAAAGTGCTGGGATTACAGGTGTGAGCCACCGTGCCTCGCTGTGTTTAACCTTTTTTAGGATCTCCCAGACTGTTTCCTAAGGTATCTGCACCATTTTATATAACCACAATCAGTGTCTGAGGGTTCCAGTTTCTCCACATCCAATGATTGTTATTATTTGCTTTTTCTTTTATAGCTGTTCTAGTAAGTATAAATGGGTATCTCATTGTGGCTTTGATTTGCATTTCCCTGATGGCTAATAATGTTAAGCATCTTTTCATGTGTTTTTTGGTCATCTGTTTATCTTCTTTGAAGAAATATCTATTGAATTTATCTGTTTTTAAATTGGATTATTTGTCTTTATTATTGAGTTATAAAAGTTCTTTGCATAATCTAGATGCAAGTCCTTTGTCAAATATATAATTTGCAAATTTTTTCTCCCATTATGTGTGTTTTCTTCACTTTCTTGATGCTATTCAAGCATAAAAATTTTAATTTTGATGTCTAATTTATTTTTTTCCTTTGTTACTTATGCTTTTAGTATAATTAAGAAATCGCTGCTGAATCCAGGGTCATAAGGACTTACAGCTATGCTTTCTTCTAAGAGTTTTATAGTTTTAATTTTTGTATTTAGGTCTTTGATGCATTTTGATTTAATTTTATATGTGATATGAGGTAGAGATCGGCCCTCATTATTTTGTATTTGGGTATCCAATTGTCCCAGCATCATTTATTAAAAACACTGTTCTTGTGCCGGGCGCAGTGGCTCACGCCTGTAATCCTAGCACTTTGGGAGGCCGAGGTGGGTGGATCACCTGAGGACAGGAGTTCAAGACCAGCCTGGCCATCATGGTGAAACCCCATCTTAAAAAAAAAGCAACAACTGTTCTTTCCCCATTGAATTGTCTTGGCACCTTTGTTGAAAATCAGTTGACCATATACATGAGGGTTTTTGAGCTTTCTATTTTGTTCACTTATCTATATGTCTCTCTATCATTATGCCAGTACCACACTCTCTTATTATAGCATTATAGTAAGTTTTGAAATCAGAAAGTGTGAGTCCTTCAAATTGGATCTTTTAAAAATTTGTTTGGCTATCCTGGGTACCTTGAATTTCACATGCATTTTAGGATCAGCTTGTCAGTTCCTGCAGAGAAGCCAGTTGGGTTTTTGACAGAGATTGCATTGAATTTGAGATCAATTTGGAGAGTATCACCAACTTAACAGTATTAATAAGTCTTTTGATTCATCATAGGATGTCTTTAATTTAGGTCTTCAGATTGTTTCAACAATGTTTTATAATTTTCAGTTCCTTGTACATTTTTTGGTTAAATTTATTCTGAAGTATTTTATTCCTTTTAATGCTGTTGTAAATTGAATTGTTTATTAATTTCACATTCAGATTGTTCATTGCCAGTATATAGAAATACAGTTTATTCTGTGACCTTGCTGCACTCATAGTCTAATGGTTTTTTTTTTTTATGTATTCCTTAGGATTTTCTCTATACAAGATCATATTATCTAAAAATAAAGATTGTTGGCTGGGTGCGGTGACTTAAACCTATAATCCCAGCACTTTGGGAGGCATGGTGGATCACTTGAGCCCGGGAGTTTGAGACCAGCCTGGGCAACATGATGAAACCCTGTCTTTATAAAAAATGCAAAATCTAGCCAGGTGTGGTAGTGCACAGCTGTAGTCCCAGTTCTTTGGAAGGTTGAAGTGGGAGGATCACCTGAGCCCAGGGAGGTCAAGGATACAGTAAGCCATGATTGCACCAGTGCACTCTAGCCTGGGCCACAGAGTGAGACCTTGTCTTAAAAAAAAAAAAAAAAAAAAAAAAAAGATTGTTGGGCCGGGTGTGGTGGCTCACGCCTGTAATCCAAGCACTTTGGAGGTCAAGGCGGGCGGATCACCTGAGGTCGGAAGTTCAAGACTAGCCTGACCAACATGGTGAAACCCCATCTTTAAAAAAAAAAAAAAATTTTTTTTTTTTAAAAAGATTGTTTACTTCTTAAATCTGGATTAAAACTAAGATGCCTTTTATTTCATTTCATTGTTTTCCCCTCCTTACCCTAGCTAGAACCTCCAGTATAATGTTGAGGTGGCAAGAATGGACTTCCATGTCTTGTTGTAAAGCATGAGGATTTTGATTCTCATTTCTGACAAGTTTTAAACTTTGGTGGCATTTCAAATGCCTTTTTCCATGATTTTATTTGGGTTTATCTGATACAGAAAGTGAACTTTTTTAGGGTACTTTCTGTATTAGAAATGAATGGCTTTGAAATGAATAGATTTTTGTTTCAAATTAAGTCTTATTAATAATGTTATTACCTTGGTTTTTATGCATAAATATGAAATTTTATTGTTACTACCTACTAACAATTTGCATTACAAATCCAGGGCCTAAACATAATGTAAAACATGTTAGTGGTCTTACGGAGGCCGAGGTGGGCATATCACTTGAGGTCAGGAGTTCAAGACCAGCCTGACCAATATGGTGAAACCCTGTCTCTACTAAAAATACAAAAGTTAGCTGGGCTTGGTGGCAGGTACCTGTAGTCCTAGCTACTTGGAAGATTGAGACAGAATTGCTTGAACTGGGGAGGCGGAGGTTGCAGTGAGCCGAGATCATGCCACTGTACTCCAGCCTGGGTGACAGAGCAAGACTCTGTTTTTAAAAAAAAATCCTTTGCTTATTAAGCTTCTTTCTCATTGGAGCTTTGTGGTTCTTTTGACTTGCTTATTTTTGAGTGAGACTGTTTCTTAGCATGTTGTCCTGTATATGATTTCTAGGTCATCTCCTGATCATATTTTATAATCAGACCTTTTAAAAAAATATATTCCTCTAAATTTACTTTGTCCATTGGCTACTTCAAGTTTATTATAAAATATTCTGGGCCAGGTGCCCAGATTACACCTGTAATCCCAGCACTTTGGGAGGCTAAGGTGGGACAATCACTTGAGCTTAGGAGTTTAAGACCAGCCTGGACAACATGCTGAAACTGCATCTCTACAATAGAAAAGTTAGCTGGACATGGTGGTGTACACCTGTAGTCCTACCTACTCGGGAGGCTGAGGCAGGAGGATCTCTAGAGTCTGGGAGGTTGAGCCTGCAGTGAGCAGAGATCATGAAGGAAAAAAGCAAAAACAAAAAATCTGTATGCTTACCTGACTAGACTGTTTTACATTTAGACATGTAAAAAGAACTGGAATATCAAATTTCTCAGTAGTTTTCTTTCCATCATTTCATAACACTGCTAACATATTTATTTTTTTCTCTCTTAACCAGGAAAAGTGGGTTGAAGTTGCATCAATGAAAGTGCCTAGAGCAGGCATGTGTGTTGTGGCAGTCAATGGTCTTCTGTATGTCTCTGGAGGTCGATCTTCCAGCCATGATTTTTTGGCCCCAGGTACCTTGGACTCAGTCGAAGTTTATAACCCTCATTCAGATACATGGACAGAAATTGGTAACATGATCACCAGTCGTTGTGAAGCGGGTGTTGCTGTGCTATGAAATATAAAGCATAATGGAGCATAAGGAACATTTTGAAAATGCAGGATCTGACCTTTTGCAAAGCAAACATACATTTGGTGATAAGACCCTCTGATTCTTTGAGTTTTCCATGTATTTGGTAGATAAATGACTAATGAGGCTGAGCACAGTGGCCTCATGTCTAAAATCCCAGCAATTTGGAAGGCTGAGGCAGAAGGATCACTTGAGCCCAGGAATTTGAGGTTATAGTGAGCTGTGATCATGCCATCTCCTGTCCACTCTGGGCAATAGAATGAGATCCTGTCTCTTAAAGAAAAACAAAAAACTACAGAGTGATTTTTCTAAAAATGTAAGTGAGAACAGATATGGAATATATCTCAATTAATAAAGAGCTCACACAGAATTACCAAGCTTAATAAAAGTAGAAATGCCATTTATGCTGTAGAATTCTCCAGTTAAGTGTAGACAAGTCCTATTTTATAAATTTGTAAAAATTATTTACTTGAAGATCCCTGGCAAATAGCCCCTTTAGCTACTTCTCCAGTGCAATATAAGTTGTAATGTAACCTTTATGTGATGTAGGAATAGTATCGATGACACAATTTAAAGATCTCTGTATATTCACAATTCTATCCAGAGCATAATTTTCCATTGCCATAGTTTGAGCTACAGAGAAAAGCCAATGAAACACATTCCTATTTTTATTTGATGCCAGGAGTTTTCACTCGCCCCAAACTTTTTATTGGCAACAGATATACTAAGAGGGTGTTTGGGAAATATCTATCTTTTTTATTTGAGATGGAGTCTGTTGTTGTGCTAAGTGCAGTGGCGCAATCTTGGCTTACTGCAATCTCCGCCTCCCGGGTTTAAATGGTTCTCCTGCCTCAGCCTCCCAAGTAGCTGGGATTACAGGCATGCGCCACCATACCCAGATAATTTTTGTATTTTTAGTAGAGACAGGGTTTCACCATGTTGGCCAGGATGGTCTTAATTTCCTGGCCTCGTGATCTGTCTGCCTTGGCCTCCCAAAATGCTGGGATTACAGGCGTGAGCCACTGCTCTTGGCCTATATCTAGCTATTTTTATAGAAAGATGCCATTTTGCTTGATGATAAGCTTTTGCTTACTCATATTTTTTGTCTCGATCCTGAGAATGCAAGTAAGGAATTAATAGAAGGTTCTTAGTGACTGAAAGTTGTAATACACTATAGAGTCCAGCAGGCAGTATGCATCTAGAAATTTATTCCTGTTTTAGGCTGGGCGAGGTGGCTCACACCTATAATCCCAGCATTTTGGGAGGCTGAGGCAAGGTGGGCAGATCACTTGAACTCAGGAGTTCAAGACCAGCCTGGGCAACATGATGAGACTCCATCTCTATCAAAAAAAAAAAATGTATGTAAAAATTAGCCAGCCATGGTTGCTTATGCCTGTGGTCCCATTTACTTGGGAGACTGAGGTTGCAGGATCACTTGATCCCAGGAGGTCAAGGCGGCAGTGAGCTGAGACTGTGCTACTGCACTCTGGCCTGGGTGACAGCATGAGACCTTGTCTCAAAAAAAAAAAGAAAGAAAATTTCTTCTTTCTTCCTTTTTTTGCTAGATTGTTGTCATGAAAATTATCTGTTTGGCTTTAGGAAGAGGGAATTTTATTAGATTATCAAGCTTTGTGAAATTTATTTGTGTTTGGACAAACCTAAGTAAGAGCACACTACAAAGCTACTGCTTGGATGTAGAGGGCTAAATTGTAGGTACTTGTGAAACTTTTTATAGACATTGACTCATAAGTGTAATTTGAAAAGCTCCCTTGACCCCAAACTGCTTTTCAAAACTTCTCATTTTCTCCTTGAGAAGTATTCTAAAGAATTGTTCTCTGTTCATTTAAAAGAGGAAGATTCACTGGGTGTGTGATGGGGTTACTTTTAAGTTATTTTGCTGGCAAGTTGGAGCCATATATATCTTGCATCCAGTAAAAAACTTTTTTTTTGAGACAGAGTTTCGTTCCTGTTGTCCAGGTTGGAGTGCAATGGTGCACTTGGCTCACTACAATGTCTGCCCCCCAGGTTCAAGTGATTCTCCTGCCTCAGCCTCCCAAGTAGCTGGGATTAAAGGTGCCCCCACTACCATGCCTGGCTAATTTTTTGTACAGGGTTTCATCATGTTGGTAAGATTGGTCTCGAACTCCTGACTTCAGGTAATCTACCAGCCTCGGCCTCCTAAAGTGCTGGGATTACAGGTGTGAGCCACCTGGCCACATACAGTAAAATTTAACTAGTTGACTTACAGATTTGATTTCCTGTTTCTTTACTAAGGTCCTAAAATATATTAATATAAGCATCATCAACTTATTTAGATAGAAAACCTTTCATTGCGGCCGGGCGTGGTGGCTCAAGCCTGTAATCCCAGCACTTTGGGAGGCTGAAGCGGGTGGATCACAAGGTCAAGAGATTGAGACCATCCTGGTCAACATGGTGAAACCCCGTCTCTACTAAAAATACAAAAAATTAGCTGGGCATGGTGGCGCATGCCTGTAATCCCAGCTACTCAGGAGACTGGGGCAGGAGAATTGCCTGAACCCAGGAGGCGGAGGTTGCGGTGAGCTGAGATCGCGCCACTGTACTCCAGCCTGGGTAACAAGAGCGAAACTCTGTCTCAAAAAAAAAAAAAGAAAACCTTTAATTGCATTAATGAATCAGGTAGCACTCATATCCAAATTCTTTGGTTTAGGCTGGGCACAGTGGCTTATGCCTGTAATCCCAGCACTTTGGGAGGCCGAGGTGGGCTGATCACTTGAGGTCAGGGATTCAAGACCAATCTGGCCAACATGGTAAAATCCTGTCTCTACTAAAAATACAAAAACTTAACAGCAGGTGTGGTACATGCCTATAATCCCAGTTGCTCAGGAGGCTGAGGCAGGATACTTGCTTGAACCTGGGAGGAGGTTGCAGTGACTTAAGATCCTACCACTGCATTCCAGTCTGGGCCATAGATCAAGACTTTGTCTCAACAAAATAAAATAAAATAAAAAAGTATTTGGTTTAATCCAGAAGTATGCTTTCTTTATAATTTAGCCATATGCATTTATTAGGAAAAGCTTATGTAATGCCGACAGGAAGCTCTGTGTTTCCTTTTCTGGGGCATCCTGAAAATCTGAAGGGTCATAGCTATCTGTATAGAGATCTGTAAGATGTCAAAGAATAAAGTATAAAGATAATTTATAGACTAAGCTTTAACTCATGTGCCTTTACTATTTCTAGTTACAGAGAATCTGTATTCTGATTTAAAACAGATTTACAAAATACTTTTACAACTTATTTCTCATTATTGTCTAGTGGCAACTAAAAATGACACTGTGAAGGGGGGTGCTTTGCACAGCTGTGGCAGAAATGTAATGTCAGGACAATCAGTGTTTAACAGGTCCTGAAGATCTCTGAAAATAGGTAACTGTAAATATGCTTATTGTTTCTTAGGTAATTAAAACATTGTTTTTAAAAGAATGTACTAATAAAGTATCTAGATTTTTGTTTCTTTGTATTACTTTATCAGTGGCATTCTGTGTTACCAAACTGTAGTAGGATTGCACAAGTTTTTTAGTTTGTTTTGTTTTAACTTTAGGGACTTGCACATTTAGTTTTACATTTAATTGTTTTTTGAGAAATGATTAAAGTGATCTACCTCCAAAATGCTTAACAATTCGATATGCTTCTAAGTTTCCTGCCAATGTACTTAATCAAATGTACTTAAAAATCAGTTTTCTTAAAGAAGCATACACTGTAATTCACCTGGAAAACAGCTTTTTGTTGTTGTTGTTCTCTAAACTTTATTTCTCCCCTCCAGAAGGTGGGGGTGGGCGGGCCTAGAACACTGCTTGCGAAGGGTTCCTGGGTCAGGCCAGTGCAGACAGCGCGGGTTTGGCGCGGCTCTTAGGTGAAGGTATAGTTGTTCCAGCCTGAAGTTAAAAGGTTGGCCGCGTTTATGTTATAGTTGATATAGACTCTGTCTGGGCTGATGCACAGGCGCTCGGCCCACAGGCAGCACAGTAGCTTCGTGTAAGAGCAGTTCTGCGGGCCGCTAAGCTTGCAGATGCTGTGCAGGCTGCAGAGCGCGCACTGCTTGCAGGAGCAGCACAAGGCCTCGAGCTGATCCGGGACCAAGTGCACCTCAATGTACTGGGGTGACTTGCCAGTGGCCTGCGCCAGCTGCTGGGTGAGTTCGGAGAGGAACCCATCGCAGGACACGTTGGTATGACGGCAGAGGGATCCGGAGACCTGCATAGAGGCACAGACGCACGCACTGCGGCCGCTGCTGAGCTACGTGCCTGACTATGAAAATAGCATTTTTAAAGCAAAATTGGGCAATTAGCCTAAAAATATTATTTGCCTCCATTCTGGAAAATAATTTATTTAATTCAGATTTTGAGACAGAGTCTCGCTCTGTCGCCAGTCTGGAGTGCAGTGGCATGATCTTGGCTCACTTCAACATCTGCCTCCTGGGTTCAAGCAATTCTCCTGCCTCGGCCTCCTGAGCAGCAGGGATTACAGGCGCACGCCACCACGCCCGGCTAATTTTTTTATTTTCAGTAGAGAAGGGGTTTCACCATGTTGGTCAGGCTGGTCTCAAACTCCTTACCTCGTGATCCATCAGCCTGGGCCTCCCAAAGTGCTGGGATTACAGGTGTGAGCCACCTCTCCTGGCCCAGATTATGGACAAGTCTTAAATCTGTATAGCATTCTTGCAATTTAGTAGCAAAGAAGTGAGTTTCCTTATCAAAACAATCTGAGTAGACTCAGATTGAGACTGACTGGAAACACCTCTCTAAAAAAAAAGTACAGGCCAGGCACCGTGGCTCACGCCTGTAATCCCTGTGCTTTGGGAGGCCTAGGTGGGCGGATCACCTGAGGTTGGGAGTTCAAGACCAGCCTGACCAACATGGAGAAACCCCGTCTCTATTAAAAATACAAAATGAGATGCGGGAGGAAGATCCAAGATGGCCCTTTAGGAGCAGCTCGGGATTGCAGCTCCCAGTGAAAGCGCAGAGGGTGAGTGGACACCGCATTTCCAGACGAATCTTTATGGCCCACAGACCAGGAGATTCCCAGGCAGAGGAGCCCCACGGGTCTCCAGCACGGCTGTTTTGACTAGCGCGGCTGTTTCAGCCGGCACGGCTGTTTTGCCGGTGCCCCAGCACAGCAGCTCTCTGTACAAAATATACTGGGCTGGTAGCCCTTTTAAGCTGGCAATTGGAGCTCCGACAAGGCAGATTCACCCATTCATCTGATTAAACAGGTCTGAAACAGGGAGGCAGGCCAGGAGATTCCTGGGCAGCGCCATTGTTTCAGCCAGCACAGTGGGTTGCTGCACAGGAAATCACACAGATCCCAGCGCCCTTTCAGCTGGCGACTGGAACACCTCAGAGTCAACTGTTCAACTTTAAAAAAAAAAAGGCTCTGAGGCAGGGAGCCAGGTGATCAGGCTCAGCGGGTCCCACCCCCACAAAAAACAAAGAAAAAAACAGCAATTGGAAATGCTCGGGGTTGAGAGTTTCATGGCAAGCACAGCTGAACCCTGGACAGGCCAGCTCTGTGGGGGAGGGGTGTCTGTCATTACTGAGGCACTCCACCCCTATGGAGGTAGTCCACCATTGCTGAGGCAGCCTGCCGTTGCCGAGGCAACCCGCCATAACAGAGAGAGTCCTCCTTTACAGAGGCAAGCCACCATTGCTGAGGTAGTTCTAACCACACCCATATAAACAGGACTGCAGGGAAGTTCACATGGCAGCAGGGCAGAGCCCACAGCAGCTCAGCAAAGCCTCTGCAGCCAGACAGTGACTAGGCTGCTTCCTTGCTGGGTAGGGCAGCCCTGAAAAAAGCAGCAGCACAACGGATACTCATAAACAAAGCCCTAACTCCCCAGGACAGAGCACCTGGGGGAAAAAAAAGGGGGTTTATGAGTTCTGCTGCAGCAGACTTAAACGTACCTGCCTAGCAGCTCTGAATGAACAACGGAGCTCACAGCTCAGCACTTGAACTCCTATAAAGAACAGACTGTCTCCTCAAGCAGCTCCCTGAACCCCGTATATCCACAGAGTCACCTTACAAAGGACTGATCAGACTGACATTTGGCGGGCATCATTCTGGGACAAAGATAGCAGAAGAAGAAACTGGTAGCAACCCTTACTGTTCTGCAGCTGCTGCAGGTGATCCCCAGGCAAGCAGGGCCTGGAGTGGACCCCAGCAGTCCTACAACAAAGAGGCCAGACTGTTAGAAGGAAAACTAAGAAACAGAAATAACTTGATCATCAACAAACTGGACATCCACTCAGAGACCCAATCTGAAAGTCAGCAACTACAAAGACGACAGTTAGATAAATCCACAAAGATGGGAAGAAATCAGCTCAAAAAGGAGGAAAACACCCGAAACCAGAACACCTCTCCTCCTACAAGGGATCACAACTCACCAGCAAGGGAACAAGGCTGGATGGAGAATGAGTGTGATAAAATGACAGAATCAGGCTTCAGAAGGTGGGTAAGCAGAAACTTCTGAGAGCTAAAAGAACATGTTCTAACCCAATGCAAAGAAACTAAGAACCTTGAAAAAAGATTTGACGAAATGCTAATAAGAATGGACAACTTAGAGAGGAATATAAGTGAATCAATGGAGCTGAAAAACACAACACGAGATCTTCGCGAAGCATACACAAGTTTCAACAGCTGAATTGACCAAGCAGAAGAAAGGATGTCAGAGGTCAAAGATCAACTCAATGAAATAAAATGAGAAGGCAAGATTAGAGAAAAAAGCATAAAAAGGAATGAACAAATTCTCCAAGAAATATGGGACTATGTGAAAAGACCTAATCTACATTTGATAGGTGTACCTGAATGTGATGAAGAGAATGAATCCAAGCTGGAAAATACTCTTCAGGATATTATCCAGGAAAACTTCCCCAACCTAGCAAGGCAGGCCAATATTCAAGTCCAGGAAATACAGAGAACACCACAAAGATATTCCTCAAGAAGAACAATCCCAACGCACATAATTGTCAGATTCACCAGGGTTGAAATGAAGGAGAAAATGCTAAGGGCAGCGAGAGAGAAAGGTCGGGTTACCCACAAAGGGAAGCCCATCAGACTTATAGCAGATCTCTCAGTAGAAACCCTACAAGCCAGAAGAGAGTGGGGGCCAATATTCAACATCTTTAAAGAAAAGAACTTTCAACCCAGAATTTCATATCCAGCCAAACTAAGCTTCATAAGTGAAGGAAAAATAAAATCCTTTGTGAACAAGCAAGTACTCAGAGATTTCATCACCACCAGGCCTGCTTTACAAGAGCTCCTGAAAAAGGCACTACACGTAGAAAGGAACAAACAGTACCAGCCACTCCAAAAACATACCAAATGGTAAAGAGCATCAACAAAATGAAGAATCTGCATCAACTAATGGGCAAAACAGCCAGCTAGCATCAAAATGGCAGTATCAAATTCACACATAACAATATTAACCCTAAATGTAAATGGACTAAATGTCCCAATCAAAAGACACTGACTGGCAAATTGGATAAAAAGCTAAAACCCATCAGTGTACTGTATCCAGGAAACCCATCTCGCATGCAAGGATACACAAAGGCTCAAAATAAAGGGATGGAGGAAGATTTACCAAGCAAATGGAGAGCAAAGAAAACTAGGAGTTGCAATTTTCGTCTCTGATAAAATACACTTTAAAGCAACAAAGATCAAAAGAGACAAAGAAGGACATTACATAATGGTAAAACGATCAACGCAACAAGAAGAGCTAATGATCCTAAACATATATGGACCCAATACAGGAGCACCCAGATACATAAGGCAAGTTCTTAATGACTTACAGAGAAACTTAGACTCCCACACAATAACAATGGGAGATTTCAACACCCCATTGTCAATATTAGACAGATCAACCAGACAGAAAATTAACAAGGATAAAAGAACAACAACAAAAAAAAAGAAAATTAACAAGGATATCCAGGACCTGAACTCAGACCTGGAACAAGCAAACCTGATAGACATTTATAGAACTCTCTACCCCAAATCCACAGAGTATACATTCTTCTCAGCACCACATCACACCTACTCTAAAATTGACCACATAATTGGAAGTAAATCACTCCTCAGCAAATGCAAAAGAATGGAAATTATAACAAACAGTCTCTCAGACCACAGTGCAATCAAGTCAGAACTCAGAATTCAGAAACTAACTCAGAACCGCACAGCTTCATGGAAACTCAACGACTGGCTCTTGAATGTTGACTGGATAAACAATGAAATGAAGGCAGAAATAAAGATGTTCTTCGAAACCAATGAAAACAAAGACACAACATACCAGAATCTCTGGGACACGTTTAAAGCAGTCTCTAGAGGAAAATATATAGCAATAAGTGCCCATATGAGAAGAAAGGAGAGATCCAAAATTGACACCCTATCACCAAAATTGAAAGAGTTAGAGGAGCAAGATCAAAAAAACTCAAAACCTAGCAGAAGACAAGAAATGACTAAGATCAGAGCAGAACTGAAGGACATAGAGACACAAAAAAACCCTTCAAAAAATCAATAAATCCAGGAGCTGGTTTTTCGAAAAGATCAACAAAATAGACAGACCACTAGCCAGATTAATAAAAAAGAAAAGAGAGAATAACCAAATAGATGCAATAAAAAAAGATAAAGGGGAAATCACCACAGATCCCATAGAAATTCAAACCATCATCAGAGAATATTACAAACAACTCTATGCACATAAACTAGTAAACCTGGAAGAAATGGATAAATTCCTGGACACTTGTGTCCTCCCAAGCCTAAACCAGGAAGAAGTTGAAACCATGAATAGACCAATAACAAGATCTGAAGTTGAGGCAGCAATTAAGAGCCTACCACACAAAAAAAGCCCAGGTCCAGATGGGTTCACAGCCGAATTCTACCAGACACACAAAGAGGAACTGTTACCATTTCTTCTGAAACTATTCCAAATAATCCAAAAAGAGGGAATTTTTCCCAAATCATTTTATGAGACTAACATCATCCTGATACCAAAACCCGGCAGAGACTCAACAAGAAAAGAAAACTTCAGGCCAATATCCATGATGAACATAGATGCAAAAATCTTCAATACTGGCAAGCCGATTGCAACAGCACATCAAAAAGCTTATCCACCATGATCAAGTAGGATTCATCCCAGGGACGCAAGGCTGGTTCAACATACGGAAGTCTATAAACGTAATTCACCACATAAACAGAACCAAAAACAAAAACCACCTGATTTTCTCAATTGATGCAGAGAAGGCCTTTGACAAAATTAAACAGCCCTTTATGCTAAAAAACCTCAATAAACTCAGTATTGACGGAATATGTCTCAAAATAATAAAAGCTATTTACAACACACCAACAGCCAATATCATACTGAATGGGCAAAAACTGGAAGCATTCCCTTTGAAATCTGGCACTAGACAAGGATGCCCTCTCTCACCACTCCTATTCAATATAGTACTGGAAGTTCTAGCCATAGCAATCAGGGAAGAAAAAGAAATAAAGGGTATTCAAATAGGAAAGGAGGAAGCCAAATTGTCTCTATTTGCAGATGACATGATAGTATATCTAGAATACCCCATCGTCTCAGCCCAAAAACTCTTGAAACTGATAAGCAACTTCAGCAAAGTCTCAGGATACAAAATCAATGTGCAAAAATCACAAGCATTCCTATACACCAATAACAGACATAAAGAGAGCTAAATCAAGAATGAAGTGCCATTCACAATTGCTA